AGATTACGGTTGAAATAACGATCAAGCATTTAGAGTCTTGTTAACTGTATTTTGCACTTGTAGTCTTACAAAAGCACACTGTAATAACATTTTGCCACTGACAAAGAACAAACCCAACAAGTTTGCTGCTGATGTTACAATAAAATACCAGAAAAATATTTTAAATGCATAAAAGCATGTCAGTGAAGATGATGAAACAGAATCCTTAAAGTAAAAGGGCTGCATGCGTCATTAACTGGCCCCTCCCATTCTCAGGTGAGGGGGAGCGGARTGTATGGAAGAATTATTCTGACTTTAATCAACAGCGTATATTTTCAATTTGAGAGCAGGAGTCTTTGCTCTTAAAACTTTATGTATTTGTCCTCAAAGGAGCAGAGCATGRATGTGTAYTGAGGGAGTGAGAATCATGAGCCGGGCATTGAAAAGACTTGCACTGTTCGCAAGTCTCAAACCACAAGTCCAAGTCATGTCTCAAGTGTTTAGGGTTCAAATCCAAGTCAAGTAAAAGTCTCTAACAGTAGGGACTTAAGTGCGACTCAAGTCCAAGTCCGAGTCATGAGTCCCCATCTCTGCTTGTAGCAGTTCGTCTCACAGTAGACCTGAAGAAGCCTTGAGTGAAGTCCCTCTGTAGTGTGACAGTCTGATGAAGAGGATGCTCAGGGTTGTCCATTGTGTGGTCAGAAAGTTCTGGCAGGATTCCTGTTAGGGCTTGGAGTTCATCCAACTTGTCCCTCTAAGATCTCCCATTGCCCATCATGATTTATGGAAGAGATGGTTTGAACTTCCTTCTCTCTCCCTCTCCCCCTCGCTCCTGGTCTGCATCCACAGCACCTCCTTTTCAACCCGTGAGATTCAGGGCTGTAATCGAGGCTTTAGTTGAGGTCTTATTTCAGGTTTTGAGATGGTTGAGATTATTTAGCTCCTATTTTTAGTTACTACTCTCTCACTGGCTGATATTTTTTATCTATAAATGCATCCTTGGGCATCTTCCTTCATATTTATGCTCATTTCTGTCTAGATCCTGCAGTCATTGTGATCTGGCTCTCAGGACATAACTATGATGCAAGTGCCTGAAGTTAGAATTGAACTTGGTAAAAAGGCTTTTAGATTGCCTCTTGGAATAACACACAGAAGGATTTAAAGTTCTCGTCTCTCGTTACCTTGGGGCAATTCAAATCAATTTTAAAGGACAGAGACATCAGATCACTTGGCTCCTGTAACTGCCCTCAAGTTTAGTGATGTGATGTCCCTTAGTTTTAGGTTTTGTGTGTCTAGATTTGTATTTTGGATTTGTTGTATGGTTTTTATGCTGCTGTCTTGGCCAGGTCACTCTTGGAAAAAGGTTTTTAATCTCAATGAGTTATTTTCCTGGTTAAATAAAGGAAACTAGTACTACATTTATTTTGTACAATTTCACCTTACTTGGAGCTTCAATCTTTGTCACGACAAACTCCACTAATTTGTTTCACTCTTTTTAGTCCCAGCACGTAAAAATTACATTTCAGTTAGCATTGCACTAACAAGAAATCATAAAATTCAACTTTAAAATAAAGCATTAAGCAATAATATTAGAGTAGGAACAGTGCCCTGCTGTTATTTTACAACAATTTCCAATAGCAGGCCTGCTGTGCTGAAAGGAATGAGAATGAAATTGATAAGAAATCACTTTGGCTTTCACACAGAGGGAGCTTGTAGGCATTTTTGGCTTTGGGGATAACGACGGGCATGACTTTTGCAGGAGCTCACCGATATCCCAGTGGTAGGCATTGGCCTCCATCTCCATCTTTCCGATGATATACCAGATGCAGGCCATCCAATGGGCCAGAAGAGCAAACATGGACATGAGCAGCGTCAGGACCACCGTGCTGTGCTGCGAGTAGCGGTCCATCTTCTGCAGGAGCCTCAGCAAACGAAGCAGCCGCACCGTCTTCAACAGGTGTACCACAGACACCTAGAAAATAACAGAAATATGCAGGGTTTAACATTAAATGGCTCTAACATGAGGCTGCAAAGGGCCACAAAATGGCACAATTTACTTCTGTTCTTGCATGATTTGGTTTAAAACTTGTTAAAACATAAAATGTCAGCATAAGATCATAAATAGGTGTTTTGAACGTTCTGGCATGCTTGAATAAAGAAATATATGATGGAAGAGTCACTTGTCATGATTGAAGGAGGTTCATTTCAYCATTATAAGCTGATGTACAGTAAATACTTAAAGAAATCTTACTCTGAGGATCTTCTGGTTTGATTTTAAGTGTTCAGTCAAGCCAGAATGTTAGGAACTCTGATGATTTCTAGTAATTAATAGGCTGCAGAGCTGAAGCCTTTGATTCTGGGGTTTTCCACATTTCTCGCAATGACTGGAAATAATCCCAGCCATTTGTAAGTCCACAGACCTCTGCAGCAAAATTTGGTTGTGTTAAAACGATCTTGCCTAAAAACAGACAAATTGATGCAAAGTCTTTTCAAACATTTTATCTTCAAAACTAAAATTAAACGATCTGTTTTAATCACCATATTTTCCCAGGACCCCAGCAAATGTTAGACTGCTCAGAAAATAAACAAAGTTATAGAATAGCCTAGAATGTATGGAGATATTGTAAGGTATTGGAAATATTTGAGCGAGCAAGCAACAAGATTTGCAYGAATTTGCTCGCTTGTGAATGTGACTTTTGAGACTTTCACACAACGCTGTGTTCAAGGCTGGTGAAAAACTGGGGAATCGGAGCTTTACCGCACTTACTGGGTTATTGGTTAAAATACATAAAACAGCACAACCCTACAGTGTAGTAAAACACATACGCATACACTGACATTACCGAGTTCCAAAAATGTAACATTTTATGGGCTGTACGGTTGAAATAAACAACCTGAAATGAGTGGGTTGGAAATTTATTAGAACAAATATACGTATATTACTTGATAAAAACATTTTCCTGTAGTTTTTCCCACAAAAAATGTTAATTTTGTGGACTGCACAGCAGAATTAAATAAATATTTATAGTATGTTATTCTTAGGAAACATAATTTTGAGTATTTCCTTTAATTTACCAATGAATATTTTCCAGTACATTTCCAAACATGTTGAGTACTTTACTTCGAATGTAGCCTACAATCTACAAAAAAAGAAGAAAAAAACAATTTTTATTTCTCTATATGTTTGTAGTTTTTGCTGAGGGACACGTGTATGTTTCTAGTAGTTAGAAGAATGACGTAATTTAACTTTAAAATAACCTTATAATTTTTTGTATTTCTTGTGTGGACTGTACATTTGATTTGCTTGAATCTTGTTGTGTGTGCACACTCCCATTGTGAGACATATTTCTCTCCATAAGAATATATTGAAAATTGTGTCAAAATGGGGGGAAACACAACTCAGGCTCGGCAGTAAAGCTGATGCCACGTCTCCTACATGAAGTAACACTTACAGAACAAAAAGTRCAGCAGGTCTTAGAGCTGGACTCAGTAGATCTGTAGAACCACAGTCTCTGTTTCTAACTACTTTTCCTGCCAGCTTTTTCCACCTGCAGTTTGTCTTTTCAGTYCAGMCTGCCCTTCTCTCACACATCTTAGGTCCAGTGACACAATTACAAGGTGCAGTCTGAAAGCATCTCTTGCTCCAGGGTGGACACTTCCTGTTTCCACAACCCAAACTGTCGCTGTGAGTGGCTTTCACCTTAAACACCACCATTAAATCTTCCAAACCTAACCTAACTTTTCTAGCTGTCTCTAGAACCTGGTCTCAAACAAATTGCCCRAATCCAAAATATAGAACTGAAGTGAAAAGTGAAAATGCACTATGGTGACATCATCCCAACCCAGTCCATTTTACCATGAATACCAAAGTGTGTAAAGCTTGAATAACAAATCTGCAGTGATAATATATAATGAGGACAGCCAAGATTTTAAAAAGAAATATGTTTTTTAATAGTTTTAAAAGAACAAGTTTGTCAAAACTTCAGGACTTTATAATGTTCTGCCTACAGGAGTCTGAAAGGGTGAAACAAACACTAACGATAGACACACTTCAATAATCTCCCTTTTACTTTAGGTAAAATGCAGCTTAATAAGCACACTGAGAGGCAGCACAAAACTTCTCAGGATGCCTCATGCCCTCTCCAACATTAACAACTCCTCAAATGTTATCCYTTTTCTATAATTAGATCTTGACTACTCATTGTAAACATTTGCACAGTAGGATCTATAAGGAGATACACTAATGGAGGACTCTTGACTGTAAAAAYACCAATTACAGCAATCAGGCTCTTGTTCGCATGAGTGTTTTTGTTTGTAGGCTTCAATCGTCACCTTCAGGATGTTTTTCTATGGTCTTCTCTTGTTGTTTTAGTAATAAAGCTGATTTGGCTAAAGCTCTGTGAAGATATATTCTGTATGTACAGTAAAAACCAAGGCATCATGACCAGGGTCGTTCCTAGTCAATGTGGTGCCCGTTGTACAATTTTCTAAATCTCACTGCCARTTTACAAACAATGCAATKAGGAACACTTGTTCRTGTTAATGAGAGGAATGAAGCAGTTCTAGAWGGATCCAGGGGTATAYTCTCCTGGAAAGTTTTGTAAAACATCTACTCAACATGCATTTTCCAGCCGATTGAAGAGCACTTTACTTCATTTATGAGATTAATAAAACAACATAAAACCAGTATTTAAAGAGGGTAGAACCCCGGAAACCAGACTTTAACCTGAACTTTACCCACGATCATAACTGRAACTTCCATTAYCCTTATTTTGTTTTCTATTTACAMACTGAGCACCAGTAGTTAGCCTTGACTGTATATGATACTTTAACTAAGAAATGTCCTCTGCACTATAACCTCATGCAGTAACATAACAGGCTGAGAAAGTTACCTTCAAAAACTTGTAAACAGTGATTATTTTACAGACTAAATCAACCATTCTCTGATAAAAAAATTCTTTAAAAAAAGTTTGACCCCATTTGTGGCGCCCCCTAGATGGACGGTGCCTTTAGCAACTGCCTATACTGCCTATGCCACAGGCCGGCCCTGMTAATAACCCTAACAAGAGAAAAAGACCAGAATCTTTGAGCAAAGCTGTGGAGGGCAGATGTAAAAATCCCTATCAGGGCTGCTCCAGCACTTGTCTCCAGTTTGCTTTATGCTGTTTTTTTTTGCACGCTCTTGCTGTGAGAAATAAAGAACTGGTGCAGCACGAGGGGTAATGAAGCCTCCTACAGAGCCCTAGGGAGAAGCTCTGTCTTCCTTCCACCATATATCACCAACCYGTATCCCACCTATGGAGCGAGCAGGCTGTGCCACATCCCCATCCTCTCCCCAACAGCACAAGCTGTAAGCAGTATAATGCTCCCAACATGCATCTCCTGCTATTTCCTCCTTCAACCTTCCCTTCTGCTGCTTCAATCACACACATGCTATTCATGTTTTCATTTGCTCTGCCCATCAGGTGTGAAATTTACATTTCACTACCTGATTGCTTCCTTTCCTCTGCCTTTTTAAGGCCACATTTGTGTTTATGAGACTATAACTTTACAGAAATGCTCATTATTTTTCCCCCTGCAGGCTTGCCTTTAGCCCTACAAGTGGTACCACAACAGCATGACGGGTCAAGTTTATTTTTATTTATTTTTACTGTTGCAGCCGTATTGGGCCACTAAACATGAATAACACTGTTCTCAAATGAAGCCTAGAAAATTCAACGCTAGCAGCTTTAATAGTGAGATTTAATAGAACTTGTGGCAACTCAAATTTCCTATTAATCTTCTCTAAAGCAGCCCTTGTACATCATTTATTTTACAATTTGAAGAATATAGAACATTGCAAATATGACAATAGAAATAACCTTTYTAGTCCTTATGAGATTTATTCAATCATGACAAATTAATTTTGCTTTCTGATGTAAAACCAGCCAGGAAGTGACCAAATCTCTGCTATAATATAATCATGTAATGTCCATTTGTGTTGTGTTACCAAAACAATACATTCAATAAGTAAACAGGATTGGAGGAAAAGTAGTGTTTTTTATTTCTAACTGTAGTATTTTTACCAATCCTAACTGAGTATTGTTATTACTAAATGCAATCATGAGGTTTTTGTGTCATGGTGTTATTTTAATTGCTAAAACATGACCCTAAATTAATATTGTGCTTCATGTTCTGCATCAGAACACTTGCTTAATTAAGATTTTATGACTTGTCAAAGAAAACACACTAGAATGCATACTATTTTTTCCAATGTGGAAAATGACTAAAGTTGAAGGAGGAGCTAATGTCTCATTGGTTCACATGTTCAATACCTGCTGTTGCCTGCAGAGGCAGTAGATACATTTATACTGTATGTGTTTTCGAGAGGTATAAAAAATGTTTAGTTGGTTGTATTTTGACTTTGACGTTGACAAAATTTACACACACATTTTACATTTATATAGATATGATTTTCTGTTTTAGTTCATGAACAGTTTTCACAAGGAGCTCTCTAAAATGTCACAAAACATTTACAAGGTTTCTCATTTTCCTTGCATAAGTAGAGGCTTGTGGTTTTGATTCAATGTGGGCAATCTGTCTCTGCTGTTTGTAATAGTTTCACATCACAGACATCTTCAGAGACCACAAGTCCTAATATCTAGGTCTGAAAACCAAATCAAAATTAATACTTGTTAAAAAAAATAGCCGAATCCACTTATTTTTAATTTCAAAAGTGGATTCCAGTAGAATGGATCAAAAACCTGTGAGGTATGTACAAACTTGGTCGACAATATGCACAGTCTCCAACAGTGGTTTCCAAAGTTGGTGTCGGGACCCCTTTGTGATTGATGAAACATCAAGTGAGAATCCCACAGATGATTTCCAGACACCAGTTTAAATGCAAAGTAATTTTAAATGAAATTAATGGAAAATTACAATATAGTAAATTTACAAAAGTATCATACCAGAGTTTCTTTATCTTATCATTATGCCCATGTTTAACAGAGCAACATTTGCATGTGTGAAGCAGTGATCACACAAGTCTCCACAGTTGTTATTTTGTGGGCTGGAAGCTACAAAGTTTGAAAACCACTGGTCTAGAAAACACTTTTGCAAGCGGACTATAAAAATTGGTTGTGCAAAACAGATCACTGGTCACAAAAACTGAAAATTTGCCTATTTTTCTCATAATTTTCTCTGTATTTTGAGTCTCAAAGCTGCTGTTCCAGTGGCACACCCTGAGTTTGTACCATGCAATCATCTTACAGTTTTTGTCAGTGAGATGTGTTTTTCTAAATGCAACTCGCACTGCCTGGATTTTTTTTTTACTATTAATATTGTTTTTGAAATCTAAATTTAACAACCCCAAGTACAAAAATAGATAAAAATAGTGTAATATAAAGAATTAAATATATTATTGTATGTAGAAATGAATGATTGCTACACATAAAAAAAATAGAAAAATGTCAGGGAGGCACCGGTTTTCTTGTTAAACTATTGAAAAAATGCTAGAAAAGCAGAAATGACAGAGACACGTGTGAGAAGTAAAAGGTAAGAGAACACGAGGGATTGCTACTGAGGGCATCGCGGCTCATTTTAGTGATAGATGGCTTCTGTTTTCAAACGGGACAATGAGAAAGCGTCGTCTTCTGCAGAGACATCAGGCAGAACGTTCAGCGATTGTAGCACCGTTCCCGCTGTCCTCGGTGACAGCGGGGGATCCTGTGGCCCAGTAGCCCTACATCCAAAACCTGATCTGCTGGGAGCTCGTGGTATTTCCATTAATAGAGTCTGGAGTCGAACAGGTACATTTGCCTGGAGCAGTCTGCCATTGCTGTCKCCTCTGCTTCCCTCTTTCTTTTAGAGGAAAAACACAGTATTTACAAAACATTTAGGCAACTATGTGTGATTTTCTTGTTAACGTATTTAAATTAGGTGAACTTGCAATAATAATTCTGATTGGCTTCAAGTCACTAAACAAAAAAAAATACATTACGTGTTAAAAATTGGGGGTTGTTTTCTCTTTATTGTTCTGTGTTGTTGATTGATGTTTATTCTTGTTTTTAGACAAATCGTAAAGCTCTTTGGTCAGCCTCGATGAGTTTAAATGAGCTAAAGACAAGTTGATATTGACATGAAACTTAGAGAAAGACTCAATGTCCATGCATCAACATTGTTTCCTTCTTTATTTTTGCAGGTATTGACAGGTTGAGACTGTGTTTCACTCCACAGCAATCATAAAAAGTGAACCAACTTCTTATACTGTACGTTATTTCTGGATTTATGTTGAGTCTTAAATGCATTTCACATACATATTTATGTTGGAGATGTTTAGATATTTTTAGAATCAATGTGCAATCAGATGATTTTTAAACCGTGATTAAAATACTGTGATTATGAAGGGAGTATCTAGTTACACGCCTTGAACTGAGACATAATGGCTGTGTCCAAATTCAGGGGCTGGGCCCTTCAAAGGACCTGGCCTACCCGGTCTAGGTGGGCCGGGTCCTTGTTCGACTGCGAAAAATAAAGAAAGAAGTGGCTGTGAATTTGGATGGTTTCGCTTTCATCTTTATTYCCGCTCTTACCACAGGGTTTGTCCTGTCGCCTTACTGATGCTAAACACTAGCAAAAATAGTTTGAAATGAGCAAAATGTCAATATATTAGTATTATTAATGTTATAAATGATTAAAATTAGCTTAAAGGCAATACATGAAGAAATGAGGGAMCCGCCGCATGTGTTTGTTTATTGCACCAGCTTGTTTTAGATAAAAAACACATCTATTCAAATGGCATCCTGTGCCTCTGTGCAAATACATCCTGTAACATTCCAAGTGTTGGCTTTTAGACTGTAGTTAATAACAAAGCAGATGATCTGTCACTCTTTAGCCTGAAGAATAAAGCATCATCAGTTTCTCAAAGCTGCAGGGCAGTTTTCTAATTCGTCTTAAAGGGGCAAAATCATGTAAAATCAACTTTTTAGAGTTTTATATCATGTTATAATGTTATACTCTCATAAAAAAACATGCCAGAAGCCTTGCTTTGACTCATTCATGCATGTTTGAGAAATCCTGCAGCGTTTTTAGG